AGATGATGGGCTGGAGGCATCTCAGTGGTTAGAGCATGTGCCCAGCATTCATGAGGCCCTTAGTTCAAGCCCCCGGATTGTCCAACACCACATTCACACACATACAAAAAAGCCTGGGGTGTTAATTCTGGGCTGAAAATTGTTGCCTACATATAGTTTTAGGTAAGACTAGAGGCTTCTGTAACAGATTCTTTCCTTACAACACAGAATGTAAGGATTAACAGCCATGAAGTTAAATCATAGCTATGTAAATGATAAACTGTAACAATTATGCTAATAAGACCCAATTGATTTTATACTTGATCACAAGTTTTAAAAAATGATGTGGAGCTTAACAGTATCAAGTATCATCTAGAGGCACCTGGTTTATGTGTGAGTCCCAACTCTGCTGAATCCAGAGAAAGTTCTTTAACTTCTTTGGCATTCATTCTCCAAGTTGGTTGGTTCAATAACTTTCACCTTCTGGCATGTACACCCTTGTACAGTCCCTTCAAGTAGTATCAAGAGCTGGTTTGTTCAATACCAAGCAGCAAAACTGATGCTGTGGCAGCCACTTTCAGGATAGTTGTGAAAGGCACCCAGCCTTACTTAGCTTTACTCCTGATTCCATAACTCCAAGAGAATACCTCGCCTGCCTTGCCACCTTAAGAGGCTCACATGGGGGAAACTGAGGCCTCTAGTTAACCACCAAGTAAGTGACCTTGGACAAGGTCCTCCATCTTTAGTCAAACTTTCAGGCAACTTGATAGCAATTCAGGAGAGACCCTAAACCAAGGTCAGCACACTCAGATTCCTCATCCACAGAGAGGAGATGATAATGCATGCGGCCTTGAAGTTCTGAAAAATTTGTTCTGTGCTGATGAACTAACCCTTCTTTCAAATGGAAATGATAATAGTACCTTCTTTAATAATTTTTTTAAGGATTAAATGAGAAATGCATGGAAAACCTTTGGCCCCATATATGATACAGAGGGAGTACCTGGTACACACCATCTCCCCCACAAAGCAAGTTGCTCTTTTATTTATAGCCATCTTCTCCCAGGGCCTCAGTATTTTCTTAAGTCTTAAAATTAAAAGTACACTGATCCAGGCCCAGTCAGTCCCTCTATGTTGTCATTTTTTGACCATTAACCAGGCAAACAATCTTTTCTTTCTCTGTCTCTGATCCCTTTTGAGAGGAAAGGCAAAGATTTCTAAGGTAGAGAAATTTAAGGCACATGCAGCAGTTAGGGAACCAAAAGCCAAAATTGCTGGCCTGAAAAAGACCAATCACTGACGACAGGAACACTCACAAAGGTTGACAATAATCAACTGAGCTAGCTGAGTCAACTGGAGCTTTGACAGAGCATGCCATTTAGAAATTGTCCCCTGACATATACAAAGCTTTCATTCAGACTTATTTATGTGCTTTTCAACTGGGAATCGATCCTGGACTTTCTCAGGCAAACTTTAGAGATGTTATCTTTTCTCTCTGGTTATTCTTCTCTCCTCACATTTGGATTTTCTTCTATTTCTGACAGGTGGGTGAGCAGTCAAATTTCCTATGAACTGAAAGAAGGTATTGAAGAAATTTACCATGAAACACAGAACAAAAGAAGAGAGAAATTTTCCCACAAGAAAACTCAATAATAAAACTACTTAACAACCAAATATGTCAGCTCTTCATGATACAGGGAGAAATAATCATAAATTCTAAATGAGAAGCTATGAGGGTTCTTGTAATTGTCACAAGTATTGTAGGTTGACACAGTTTACTGCTGGTTTTCTGGGAAACTGAAATGCAGTATCTTTCTACAATAAAATAAGTGAAAATTTAAAACAAAAATACAATCCCTTATACCAAAAGGGGGGATGGGCTTTTAATTTCTCCTGGAGAAAGGCAATTGTTATTTATTCTTAGAGAGAGGGAGAGCAAACCAGTGTATCTAGTGCATCTAGTTCTGTTGAAATCAGCACTTCTTACCTAAGCACTTGACCCTCTCTTAAACTAACCTCTTAGGGGAAGAACTTGGGTTTGTTCTTATCTTCCTCCTTCTTTTTATCTGTTTAATTCTTTGTTTTGCACTTCAAGGCTTTATTTCCTTTCCCTTTATATTTTCTTCCCTCCCCACTGTTTCCTTGCCTACAGCACTGGTATGATATTAAACCTTGGGGGAGGGGAGCTGGAAGGCATCTCATCAGAGAGGACTCTGGGTTGTTGTAAGAATCCCTTACTGTGGCACAGCCCAGGAAAGGTATTGCTGACCTAGTGGAAATACTACTCCCCTGGACTGTCATCTCTGCCCCTTCTAATACAGAAGAGTTGAAGCAAGATGACTTTCATTTTCTATCTAAACACAAAGAACACTCAGAAGTATAAGAAAGAGCAGTGTAAATGTAAATAAGTCACCAGCAAACAGGATGCCCTCCCCCACATTGCCTCATGGTTAACCAGTCACTAAAGCCTGGTCATTCAGGGGGCTGGAGAGATGGCTCAGTGGTTAAGAGCACTGTTTGCTCTTGCAGAGAGCCCAGGTTTGATTCCCAGCACCCACATGGCAGCTAACACCTGTCTGTAACTTCATCTGTCCTCTTTTGATCTCTGAGGGCATTGCATAACATGGGTGCACTTACATACATGCAGACAAAACACTCATAAACAATAAAATAGTAATAATAATAATAATAAATAATAATAATAATAATAAAGGTCTAGTCATTCACATCTCCAAGACGCTCCAGAGCCTCCAAATTGTGAATCGCGTTGTGTTTTGGGTCACTTTCCAGGCTTTCCGGTTCAGTTGGCCCTCCTTCCACTGTCAAGCCCAAAGGCTCAGGCACAATTGAAATTCTAGAGCTTTACATCACCTACAGGTTAAAATCCACCTCCTGCTCCTTCTGCCCACCTTCTTCTCTGGCTCTGGGTCCTTTAGAATTCCAGAATATAAAATGTGATCTTTGTCTCTGTTGCTCCACAAGTCATTCATGTTTTCTAGCTCGCCAAGCTTCCCAGATGTCCTAAAAGAGCTTCTTCTAGTCTTCAGCTCATCCTTTCTAGTTTAAACTCTAAGAGTAAGTAAATGGACTCATGTGAATCTCTCAAGAAGTCCTCAGCAGAAGAACATTCTGGAAACTTTGTTTGGAGCAGTGAGTGCTGTCCAGGAGAAAGGACAAGACAGGCCCTCCCCAGTCTGCAAATTCCATCCAGAAAAAAAAAAAAAATCCTTATTGTTAAGGATAATTTGAGCAAGACCTGTGGAAGGCAGGTCCATGATGACAGCCTCTAGATCACTCACTGTCCTATCCAAGGGCCATAATCCCTCTATCTTCTCTTAAGGAAATTCTGATTAGAGTTTTAGCCATCCATTCTTCTAGGGATGCGGTAATACTTCTGTGGTACTGCGGAGGCAAACAAGCTATCCAGATTACTGTGAGGTTTGATTATAGAAATGCCTCATCCTTTCCCCACAAAACTTTTTGTTTATTTTTTTAAGGTTTATTTATTTTTATTTGTACAAGTGTTTGGCTTGCCTGTATGTATACTGGTATGTGTGCCATGCCCACAAAGGTTAGAAAAGGGCAACAGAGCTGCCATGCAGGTGCTGGGAATTGAACCTGGGTCCTCTGAAGAAACAGCAAGGGCTCTTAACTCCTGAGCTACCTCTCCATCCCCCACAAGGCTTTTTGCATGTTGTTTGGTTGTTTGTTTACTTATTTATAGGATCTCAGGTATCCCAGACTGGCCTTGAATTCCCTACATATCTGAGAATGACCTTGATTTTCTAATCTTTCTGCCTTCATCTCATTAATGCTGAGACTAGAAGTGTGTACCATCACACCCAGTTTTATGCTGTGCTGGATTAAACCGAGGGCTTCCTCCAGACTAGGTAAGCACTCTACTGAGCTTCAACCTCAACTCCTGTATGTTGTTTAAATATACAAAAGTGTAAGTTTATGAAAGTAGTTACAATTTAACAATTTATAAGTCAAATATAAGTGGACTGAAATCTGTCATTTAGTAGTTTAAAATAGTAACCACTGGTTTCTTAACTAAATATCATCAGTAGTAGGTTCCATTACTAACCTTCAGTGCCCTTGCTCCATCATGAAATTGCTCTATGTACTAATTCTCAGCTGTTACCTTGAAGTCTGAATGAGACCCCCCCTAACCACATTTCCTGGTTGTTTATGCCACTCAGAATGGTTCAGATGGAGACTGGTTTAGAATGTGCAACAGTGTAGTGTGTAATTTGTAGGGGTCCACAGGGAAGGAGAGGCCAGAGGAGACACCAATTAGTTGTTCTCACACGCTTGTATCTAACAGTGGTAGTCTGTTACCTATTTTATGCTAAAGGCTGGGACTTAACCGGAACATTCCATCCAGCTGAAAAAGCATGCTGATGACTTTAAATGAAATAACCCAATAAAACATGACTGATCCAGGTTACTGACTATCAGGCACAATGATATTATGATTTAGCTCTACAACATTTCTAAATTGGTCAAATAGTTCTCTGCATCTGGATCTTCCAAGTAATGAATTCTCATCAGGCCTGAAAGAAAAGTCTGGATTTCCTGCGCAACTTTTCTCAAAATTGTATCACAGGGCTTTCTTTCTCATTTCCCTCCTATTAAGTAAAAAACATTCTTACTGCTAGGTTTGGTATTTTTTAACAATGCCTTATTTCTTGGGACGCTCTACAATCATATCCTTTCAAAAAAAATTTAAAGTTATGATTTTTTGCAATTAAATTGATTTACAAAATACCCGCTTCCATACAGTTTCAAGAAGTGTGCATTTGTTATAGATATCAAAATGAGGCAGCTAGCTGCAAGGTTTGGAGCCAAACCGCCGGAAGCCCCCTGAAACCTCTTTTCGTAGCGGCCTGGGAAGCATTCCGGCCTACAATCTAGCTCACAGGTCCAGGTCCCCAGGAAACTCAGTCCACTTTGCGTGACAGTATGGCACCTGACCCCATCTCCAATTACCCTATCCTTTTAAAATGTTGTAAGCGTTCTACCTTTGTTCAGCAGAACCACGGGCACGGTGATGATGGTGACGAGCGCAGCAGCACCCAGCAGTCCCAGGAGAACCTTCCACGGCGTCTGCAAGCGGGTCAGATCACATCCAATTAGAGGGACGCCTTGGTCCCTAATCTGGGAAGAGGGTCGGGCCCCGGGCTGCTCCAGAGGCAGTGGGGTTTGCTGGTGCGCGAGTGGACTGGAAGGGTTTGGAGCTTGTTTAGGCGAGCGTCCTTCAATTTGTGGCCCCAGCACGTCTCTGTTGGCTTCTGTCCCGCCGGACCGTCTGAAGCCCAGTGAGGGTGCAGCGTGCGTTCCTCAGGTGGTTCTAGGGGACCTCCAGGGCTCTGTGCCTGGGTCCAGGCAAGACACTACGGAAGTCTGAGCGCGAAGCGAGAGCTACGTTCCTTCACCTGTTGCAGTGGCCTCCGCTTAATGGCCGTCCCTAGTCCCTTCTAGGAAATTTGGGGCATTTAGGGGAGAGTTTGGCGAAGCGGCACCCTCAGCTGGAGCCCCGGGGATGGGGAGGTGGGAGACCGGGCACACTCACCTTCATGATCGCTTTCTCCTCGGAACTGATTTCTGAGACTGGAGCGCAGAAGTCCCCGCGCAGAGACGGACGTCCTGCTCTGCTGCTCTGCGCGCAGAGTCACCCTGCGCTCGCCGCCAAGTTTCGGCCAGAGTTAAACATTAGTGAGAGCCCAGCCCGCTCGGTTTAAAGCGCCTCTGCAGGTGGTGAGCTCGCGGGGCAGAGGCCTGACTGCTGGGAGCGGGCGGTCCGCGGCCAGGACCAGCCCTGTAGTGCGGTAGGATGCGCCTGGGCGCGGGGAGAGCGCCTGCCAGACCCCGGGCTGGCCACGCGGGAGCCTGTGGTACCCTCTAGTTGAAAGAGACATTGTACATTGGCGTCTAGCTGCTGCTGCCTTGCGTGGACAGGCGAGGGAGCCGAGGTCCAAAAGGGCATGGAGCTTGGCAGATTCACAGCTCAAGGCTGATAACTGAAGCTAAACAAGGTCTTTTGTCATGTTGGGGGAGAAGGAGTTGGGTGTCTAAGGCTATCTGACTGGCAAAGGGAAAGAAAGGGTGATTGTTCACTTTTGAATGGCACTTACATGCTGAGTATCTGTATTTACCCTCTCAGGGAATTTCCACTTATTTTGCAGGCGAATCGTCTCATCAAGATACCAAAAATAACACCACCACTTATGTGGAAGTTACTTTAAACATATCACTAAGCACGTATTGTGTTTATTTTACAGAGAGGACGGCTATGCACAGAAAGGTTAAGTTACTCCAACAAGTCACTCGCTGGTTCGAAGTTGTGGAGCCTGAATTAAGAGGGCAGGACACAGAAAGAATCCTTAAGCATGGGACCTCCAATGTCCCTGCTGTCCCTTCAGTTTTAAGGAGTACATTTCTTTTTTTTTTTTTTTTTGCAAATCATCCCTATGCTATGCTGTTATAGTCATACATATGGACACAAGTTTCTCTCAACAGTGTCTCTCAGATCTCTTCCTCCCTTTGTTTTCTAACACCTGAGGAAGTTGGATGAAGACTTTCTGGAGCCTGTGAGCTGCAGGTGTGAAAGACTTACAAGGAACAATGCAATACCGAAGGCTCATGGCTGTCCTTTGTTCACAGCAGTGGTAGCCTTGTCAGTCCTAGTGACGGAACTGGTTCTAACCAGAGCCTGGTTCTAACCTGCATGCTTGCACCATGACACTGGAGGACACTGGTTGACATCCACAGGACAGATCATCTTGTTCTCTGGGAACTTTCCATGAGATACAAATACTTTCACTCAATATTCATTTCAAGAAACTTTCATGGGTCTCTTCTTTTATAAAGCACCCAAATTTAATTTTAATACATTCATAATGAATTAGTTGGTCAGCACATAAGCCACCACATCTCCTGATGGCCACTGCTAACTTTCTTTGTTAAAGGATGATACTTTTTCCTCTACTGTTGCTTGGTTGTGGGGGTGGCTGTCTGTGAGGCATTGTAGACATTAACACAGTGGGAAAAGGCATGACAGAATCCAAGTTCTCTACCATGATTTTCTTTGCCTTGTCTCTTACACAAATACATACCATTTCCATTTAATGTTAGTATGTGTGTGTGTGGACATGCCCAACTTTATCATTGGGAAGATTATGTAAAACTCTGTTCACCTGTGGGGAGGTAGTTAGTTCATGTTATATGTTGAAATGAATCTTCAAAAAAAGGGGTGGTGGTGAAATATATTGGATTCCTAATTTCCAGGCCTTCAGGATGGTCCTGATTTGGAGATAGCTCCTTCGCAAAGTAAACCAAGTTAAATTAAATCATTGGGATGGCCCTAATCCAATGTTACTGATATCCTTATAAAATGGAAAAACTTGGACACATAGAGACACAGGGAGGATGACATAAATAAACTGAGGGAGAAGATGGTCATCCTCATGACAAACACAGAGACATGGAGCAGATATTTCTTTTGCAGCCCTCAGAAAGAACCTTCCCTTTAGATCCTTTGCTTTTAGACTTTAGCTTCCAGAATCTCCAGGCAACAGATGCTCTTGTTTTAGACACACAGGTGGTGGGTTTGTGGTACCTATTACAGCAGCTCTAGCAAACTATTGCAGTTGGTGTCCCACATCAGGCTTTAGCCTCTACTAGAGTCCAGGACAAAGAGAGTGATGGCTTCAAGTAGTGATCCATCATTTGCTATTGTAACCAACCTTCAAGGAGGTCCCCAGAATTTTGATGTAATTAGTTATAAAAATAGCTAACCAAGAAATTAGTGCTCAGGGTGGATGTGATGGCAACAGGCTTTTAATCCCAGCACTTGAGAGGCAGAGGTAGATGAATGTCTAAGGGTCTGAGGCCAGTCTGGGTCTACATAGAGAGTTATTTAGCCAAGGCTAAATAGTGAGACCCTACTTCAAAAAAGAAAAAGCAGGCAGAAGAGGAAAAAGAGGAGGGAGAGAAGGAGAAAGAAGACTGGGAGGCAAAGGAGGAAGAAGGAAAGAAATTGGCAAAAAGGGCATGGCTTTGCTCTAGGCATTTCTTCTTGACTCTGCTGTTGGAGCTTGCCAGAGCTTCCATGCAGCTATCTCTGTTTGCTTCTGCCATTTCTAAGAACAACTGGGTCTACTAGGTCCTAAGATTCAGCAGGAAAACTTGCATTACAGCCTAGATTTCCAGGAGCCCTTGTTCACTTCAAGCTCCGTTCAGAACAAACAGCCTTACAGATTACTAAGCAAATGGTTGGAGAAGCACACCCAATTTTAATGCAGTGTCTCTATGATCCAGACTTCTGGCAAGCATTGCTCTTCTTCATGGTAGATGTGAAATGTGTAGGGACATTTACATCAGAGGGGATACGCTGACATGTTACAGATTACTTGAAATGTTACTGAATCCGTGAAACTTTGCAAAATTAGCATGGGTTTTATCTTCTACCATATGCCTACCCATGTCTTACTAAATCATATAATAAACCCCTTCTACTGTCCATCAGGTCCATTTAGTGTAATGTCACTGATGTAATGGATCAATGCACTATCACATGACCACTGTCCTGGGAGATGATAATATTGTTAAAATCAAAAGTGCTGGCATAGCCCTGAAATAAGATGTGAAAAGGTATTTCTGTCCCTTCTGAGTGAAGACAGATTATTTTCAATATTCTTTATTAATTAGACTCAAGAGAAATGTGTGTAGGTTGAAGTATCAGACACTATAACCTTGTTGTTTGATTCAGTAAATCACCACATCTGAAATGGCAGCTGAGATCCACCCAGTGTTGATTTCCATGAACCATATTACTTCTGCACAAGATGAACAGACAAACTGATGGGCAGAACAGTCCAGAAGGTCTGAGTTGGTGTGGTTCTTACTGAAATCAATCTTTGTCTTACTCAGGAACATAGCAGTACTTTTAATTTTCCATATTGGTGTGGACGGAAGGTAACAGAGGCTTTCCACAGGTCTTTCTTCCTTGATATATCTTTATACCTTAGGAAATAAGTCATAGGCCGTCTCTAGGATCTGGAAAAGGTGAGGAAACCAATTCTTCCCTACAGCCTTTGAAGGAGCAGAGCCTTCTGACACCTTGAAGATCCCAGTAAACACTGTTTACTTCCAACTTCCAGAACTGTACTATATAAATTTGTGCTATGGCACAACAGTGTCAGGAGAAGTAATGGAGACGAAATGGGTAGGAGAATCAACAAAAATAAGTTTTCTTTGAAAACACCATAAGCAAACCTAATGCTTTGTATGATAATTAAAATAAATAAATAAATAAAGCCACTGAATTTGTGGTAATTTGTGAAGGTAGGAATGGAAGTTAATATATCACCAGACCACAGTGGTATTTTAACTCTAGAGAAATTGAACTAAACCCAGGGCTGGTATTTAATACTCCAGGGAGTTCTGAGTATATCCTCTTTCATAAGGCATTCCAAATTTCACAGGTCCTTCTGGAAGAGAATTTAAGGTATGCACTGTGACAGCATTTCAGAACCTTTTCTCAAAAAGATCTGACCTTTTCCACCAGGCATCTTAGGCCTGTGAATTGGTTTGAGTCTGAAAACTTACTGAGAGAATGCTATGAATGCAACGCTCTCTCAGAAACTCATGTTGAAATTTAATTGTCATCATGATGGTGTTAAGAGATGGGACTTTTAAGAGGTAAGTAGGTCCTTGGGACATTGCCCTCAAGAATGGATTGAGGCCATTACTGGGGGAGCAGGTCAGGGTTTAGCACCTATGGACATGAATGAGTGAGAGGCTCTGCCCACTTCCCTGCTCCTCAAATGCTCTCTCACCAGTGGTGTCCCCCACCATGTTATAACACAGCAAAGAGGCCATTATAAAGTCTGTCCTAGTTTACTTCACTGTTGCTATGAGAAAAAACACTGACCAAAGCAACTTGGTGGGGAAGAGATTATTTCATCTTACATTTCCAAGTAATTGTTCCTCATTGAGGAAAATCAGGTCAGGAACCTGGACTCTGGAACTGAAGCAGAGAGCATGGAGGAATGCTGCTTACTGGCTTGCTTCCTCTGGCTTGCTCAGCTGCCTTTCTTATACAGCCCAGGCCCACCTCCCCTAGAGATGGTACGGCCCACAGTAAATGGGGCCCTCCTACATCAATTAGTAATTTAGAAAATGTCCCACAGGCATCGCCATAGGCCAGTCTGATGGAGGAAATTCCTCAGCTGAGATTCCTTCTTCTCAGGTGTGTCAAATTGGCAGCCTAGATTAGCCATCGAAACTCCCAGTACCCAGAACTGTAAGCCAAATAAATTTCTATTCTTTGTAATTTATCCAGTCTGTGGTATCCTGTTTTAGCAGCAGAAACTTGTGTCAGATCTTTTTTTTTTTTTTGGCTTGAGTCAATCTGTAACTTAGAATGCTGTCTGTTATCTACTGACTCCATCATTAAATACCTCATTGCTATGGTTTAGATGTCCCCCAAGAATCATAATAAGTTTATTGGATTTACTAACTGAGCTTGGGGTGCTGGTTTACTTATAGAAGAGTGGGTACCCCCTCCATTTGCCACTGTGCCGGAAAGTCCACACCCAAATATAAACACTGTGGCTTCCCAACAGCCACACAAAATGGTGAGAGACCTGCCTCCTGGTTTTCTTGGCTTATATATCCTTAGCCCCTCCCCTTCATGCAACTAAGGTCAACTGATTGGGTGGGAGGGGTAACAGGCTTCCTCCTGCTTGACTCCTTCTGCAGAGCTGGGAAGAAGATGGGACTATAGCTTGCTGTTATGGTGGTTGGAGG